CGGTTATTAAGTAAATTAATTGTTTCATATAATTCTCTTAATTTTTCATATCTTATTATGTTGCAAAAGGATTAGATATTGTCAAAAAATGAATTGTGGAAAAAACAATGGATTTTATAAAAATAATCATTGATATAATACGCATCATAAAAAAAGATACACTAGTTTTTGGGAAAACATAGTAAAATAACATATTATAAAACAACCAACACTAACGCGACGATAAAAATATTTCCGACATTAAAGTAACATTCTTTCAAACCAATTATATATGTATGTATTTCAATAACTCCATAAAAGCTGGGCGAATCGATAGTGGGCTGTATTTTAATAACTCCATAAAAAATAAGCGAAGCGAAATTTCTATTTTAAAATATGTAAAAAAATCCCAACGTTCCCCCCAACGAAGTCACGGGAACAGCTAGATATCAATTAATCTTCAGGGCAAATATAAATTAATTTCATTTTACAGTTATTTAAACAAACATATGAAAACAAAAGACACCTAAAACAAAACAATGCACACACTACACAGCCTTGTGAAGAACTCGGGATGAACGAGTTCTACCGTTAGTCCGTCAGAAGTTAAAGTTTGCAAAGGTTTTGACGGCCGGACGGACGGATAGAATTAATGGCCACCTCTGATTGGCTGTGGTCACGTGATGCACGTACGGATGGACATGCAGCGAGGTGGTGGTGTATATCCTGCCTGACGTGTCTCTCCGGGCGGTCTACACACTACATACACAAGGAACTTGTTAAGAATGGGATGGAGTTTATGAAGTAGTTGTTTGCGCTAATACACGTATCTCGGTAAATGAATGTTCTTCAAGTAGGAATTTTTGTCAGAAAAGATAAAAAACAATTATCTATGCCCAAATTTTGTTACTTTGTTACATTAAGTGAATTCTTGGAGGAAAAAATAATAATTTGGCTGTGTTGGGGACACGGCCGCTTGTTTTGAGTGAATACGTCTACGTTGACGCGCTCGGACGCCTTGATGTTTATGTTACGTTCCTGGCACCGCTTCACTCGATCACATGGGGTTTTATGGATATCACTGGATTGCTTTTGAGATGCTCTTTCCAACCGTATACGATTTCTGTATTTCGACTTGGCTTTTTGACGAGTATAGGTCGACATTGTGTTAAGTTTCCTTCATTTTTTACATTAAACGCATACAATTTCACCATAACCATGCCACAGAAATGTGAAGTCTTGCTTCAAATTCGACACGTGTGGCAACTCATCTACTTCAAGGAAATTATGTGAGTTGTGTACTCCACCTTCCTGCCAAACAAACTGTCCTGCCAGCCCTATCCCCGTCTATGTACTATAAACTGTGGAAAATATACGTCAATATATTTTGTAATTAATACGTGAATTATCTTTGAGAATCATTATAACACTCGGTCTCGCTGCGTGTTCTGGTATGAACGACGTGCTACATCTGGTAAATTGCGCCGAGCGAGTCTTGAACACTGTGGTGGAAAATAATCGTCTCCTAAATTGGGACTACAATATAGCCAAAGTTGCTCAAATTGAATTTGATTGCTACTTGCCTGCACGCATGTTTTCACGAAATCCCACAGGTTAAAAGACGCTTCGTCCACATTCAAGTTACACTCCAGAAATGTGAAGATAGTAGCCCGCATGTTTGAAACACTGATTACAAATTATTAAGAAAACTGTTAGTACAATGACGTGGGCCTAATGTTAGTGAAGATTTATCAGTACAGTACTGCGGAGAATACCATGCTCAAGTTGACGCTCGTCTAGCCTCTACCTGGCGCAAGGCTATACTAACTGCGCGCCCTCGTGTCACGATCCGGAACTACGAATACGTCTGGCATGTCCCATAAACTCCTTTTACTTTCTTGCCCCTAATTGATATTTTAAGCCGCATTTTGGGGTGTATGAATAAGCGCCCGGCAGCCTGAATAATGGCGCAGTCTTGCTCTACGAGTGATGCAGGCTGGCTGGCGAGGGGATGACATCGAGATCGCAATCCGCAGTTAGGCTTCATGGCGCTAGGCGACGCAATTTTGAAAATTGAAAAGCTAAGTAATGTCATAACTGTGTTTCATAACTATGTCTTTCCTGCGTTTTGAAGTGTAGGTTTTTTAATAATTAGTTTTAATATTCCGGCGTCCCTTACAATATTAGGTGAAGTGATTCTTCGCCATAAATATTATAAAAATCATACATTGGTATTTCTATAGGTTTTGTATGAGGAGTTTTCTCGTGGCAATGAATCATGTGCGGTCCGTTGAATGTGTTTTTTTGTGGGAATACTTTCTGAAGAGTGGTAAGTAGCTACCTCAGTAATCTATTATCCGCCAATAGAGGGAATTATAGTGATTCTTTTTTATGTAAATTTTATAGCGAGGCTGTGTGTTACAGAGTTTTCTAGCCACGGTTTTGTTCCTTTGCCTTCCATGGTTGATTTTGAAAGAGTTGCATAATTTTAGGTATGATTTTGTTGGGACAGATTAAGACCGTCCTTTTTTTTGTACGTTGCAGTATATCTTCCTGCCTTTCCCCAGCATGGCAGCATGAAGCAGTATTATATTGGAAAGAGAAAAATTTATTTTGTGTACTCTATGGTTCGATATGGGAATTGTTTTCTGATTTTTTCTTGTTTGGTCTCTGTCGTGTAGACTGTAGGTCTATGTACCCTTTCCTGCCTTTCCTGATCCTTGCTATGTCCCAAACAGGCGTACAAAATGTTTTTATCCATGCAATCTATTCATCTTGACGAGGGCTGTCCATTGAAACTTAAACGAGCGTCGTAGTTTCTCCTAGTCAAAAGTTATATTACGTGGACATTATGAGACACGGCAAAACGAACTCAAAATTGCGCCACCCCCCACCTTTCTCTCCATCCCGAGTGATGCTTCGCAGTCCTCACTCAACGTAACATATTCTTTTATCCTTTGGCAACCGATTGGTGTAATTTAATTTTAAATGTAGGCGATAGATTCGGAGCTGCAATGCCAAACTGGATCCTCCGATTTAGTTATCATCGGATTTTCTGAATTGCCTCCCACTATGCTCGCAAATTTAAAGACGTATTCACGTCAAAATTCATGAAAATGGTCAAATATCGCATTTTTAAAGCTAGCCTATGCAGTTTACTTCAGCAGCAAGAGAAAAGTACAAATATACGGGGATTTGAGTGCGTGTAATGAAGTCCCACTATTACAGATCTAATTTGCAAAGTTGAGCGTCACGGCGGAAACACTGCACGTCTTGCGCGTAGGAGCGTTGAGGCGCTAGAAGTGCGTGTAACTGTCGCCCGTATCGCTTCCTCGCTTTTTGATCTTGTACGCGCAGCTACATCCCACTCTTAAGGCTCTTGCCAACCTGGTGCTTGAACTGCATTGCAGGTTGTTTGTTTCCACGAAGCTTTTATATTACGAGCGTCCAACTTGACCATCTGCAAAAAGAATACATACATCAGACGACGGCTGTTGAGTGCTTTCAAGACATTAGAAACACCATTTTAGAGTCATACTAATTAATCAAGAACGAAAGTTTTTGCACAAAAAAAGCTGTTTTTGGAGGGCCCCTGTGGGCAAACGGAATGGAGGAGGGGGAAGCCGACCCCCCCTCACTGATACCCTATCCATTCTCTTTGAAACCCTCCCCCCCCAAAGTTCGCCCCTCCCCTGGGAGGAATTTGGGGGTGTGCTTTTCGCCTTCGAATCGGCCTGGAAGGCGCATTTTTCGACCGATTCTCTTCAAATTAGGGGGAGATGTGCCTTTGAGTGCCCCCCCCCCCAAATTCACAGTTAGGCAATTCGTAGTCCTAAGGCCTAAGTTTTAAGTCTTAGTATAAGTCTTGGGTCTTACTGCTTAAGTTTTAAGTCTTAAGTTTTAAGGATTAAGTCTTAAGTCGTACTTTCACTATAATTGCTTCTGCACGTGCCGAAGATCCCAAACGATATTGCACTATAAATACTAATTCGTATGGTTCATCTTTGGTGGCTCAGCCCGCGGTTTCCGCGAGTACGACGCCTTGTACATCATAATTGCTAAAAACAACTTTCTCAAATCGCTGTATCTCAAAATATACGCGTCAGATACATACAAAACTACTCAAGAGCCCTGCACATTCACCCTTCCTTAAGCTTTTTCACCAATAAAATAATAGGTTCACCACTGATAGTCCCACAAGTAGAGGCAGTGCGACGAGAACACTGAACTTTGCCTGTTCAGAGCCTTATGCTTAGAGGCGATGGGGTAATTGAAGTGCGTGGCACTATCGTCCTTATCGCTCCCTTGCGTCTCGGCCTCAAATGTGGAAAAAAATACCCATTTATCTGCGGTTCTGAAATGTTAATGTCATCAGGAAATAATAATAGCTTTAAATTTAATGACGATATCAAATATTATCTTTAATTATTCGCAGTTGACATGAAATACTATATTTTGACATCACAGAATATTCGAATGATGTTGTTTCGCATGTCTCCCTAACTTGTAGTAACTGACTATCACTATCATAAGGTCGGTCATAAGCAGTCACTATCCAAGGAAGGAACAATATAACTGAATACGGAAAATCTAACAGAGATTTGAGTCACCCCAGCAACTAACTAATCTGGGTTTACAACTTGTTACTTAGTTAACACATGGTATCTATGTCGACGATAAAATTAATTAAATAATGTATAAATAACCATGTAATTTCCACAGTGATAAAACCTCAAACAGGACATTAAGTACAATAGCTAATTATCTTATACAATTATTGGGTACTGATTTCTGATTTCGACTATTCACTTAATTACTTAATGTGGGGAACGTTTTACTGATAGTTCATATATTTTAAGGCTTCACAACTTAAAGTAAAATCGCAAATGTTACATTGCATTACGGGAAGAATTAAGCCAAAAATTAATTATAAAACTCAAATGTAAAATTTAATAGCCATGTTCTTCAAATACATCAATTTTGTAGTGTAGATAGTTAAATAAAAAATACTCGAAAGGCAAAGTTTCTGGCCGGGATCAAACCGAGATCCTTCTGCGGGTTAGGTGGGCATGATAACCGCTACACCACAGAGACAGATAACCAGTACACCACAGAGACAGATAACCGCTACACCACAGAGACAGATAACCAGTACACCACAGAGACAGATAATATTCGAACGCATGTCTACATGTACAACATTGTATTATTTAGGCATTTTGCACAAAAGGCGAAGATAGCTCGCATATTTAATTATTAACAGTCGCGTAGCCAGAATTTTCTGAAAGAAGTGGGGAGGAGGCGGTTTACACTGAGGCCATGTTCCAATTGGAACTTTTTACTAACAATATGGCCACATGATCCGTTTGTTCTACAAAATCTATGATGTATTTTTAAATTTCCTTTTTCCGTTTTGTCGGCTTCAAAGCTGACAGATACAACATACACATTACGAGTCACTGGCCATATTAGTTTTGAGTAGTTTGAGGAGAGCGGTTCTAACGCACCTGGTAACCTGGTGGGGAAGAGGGACGACCGACCGCCATCTTGGATTTCCTTTTTCCCTCAGATTTCCCCTTTTCCCCCTCAAAATTTCCATTTCCCCTCCCTTATAGGCGGCCATGTTGACAGCCAGTATGAATGCGGCCATTTTGTTAGCCAGTGAGTCAGTGGTTGCCATTTTAGTGGCCAGTATGTCTAGAAACCTCCTGCATTACCCGGATGCCTCTATCCTATGTATATTTTCTCTGGATGATTTTATCCTATACTCTGGCAGCCATTTTGTTAGCCAGCATACTGGCGGCGGCCATTTTTGTGTACGTCTCTAAACTTCCTGAATTCCAGATGTTTCCATCCTACAGAATGTCTCTACTTCATGCATTTGCATTCCATCCCTGCCTCCCTAAAACTACACCAGACTGAAAGAATCCCTGGCACAACATCAGGCCAGAGGTTTCGCCGAGCTCTCTCTCGATGCCTCTCTTTATGTCCCTACCTCGACGCCAGGCGGGGGTTTTCTCCGAGCTCTCCTGCGAGCCCCTATATACAAAGCAGCGGACCACCATCGATGCATGAGCCCATGCTCTCGTGTTATGTTACCTCCTGTCCATACCCAACGACACATGCTCTCACCTCGCCTCCTCCCATTGTAGCCCAGTCTCCACATCCCAGCATACACATACCGCACACCTACGTTACTCGCCCAGCCCCTACTGTGGCAGCACAACACACGTGGCCACACTTATCTGTCCACACTGTGGTGTTTTACTCCATCCTACCGCCACATAACACTGTAACATCACATATGGAGAGCTTCTGGGCTTGTGACCAGCTATTAAATATGCCAACACCACCACCAGCAAATAATGATTTTATTCTATACACAATGTATATAAGATAAAAATAGTTAATACCAGTGGTAATGGCGGGAAATTGAACCGTAGTTGTTACAGTACCGTAACAAGAAAAATACCCAGCAAAAAAACAAATAAATGAGGATGGACCACCAAGAAAAACGACAGCATAGCATTTACTACAGCCAGATAGATGAAGAAAGAAGGGAGGTAGAGATCATTTTGTTAAGAATAAAAGCAGCTTCAATAGGGACCATCAGACACTTCAATGTTATGCGATTCATATACTATTACACATTCTCATCAAACCCAATAGGATAAGCATCGAGTCCCCCAAGGAGGATGAAAAACAGAGATCCCAGGGTCGGAGACACAACATAGATGCCAAATCCCCAGGCAGACGAAGTATTGTAGATAATATCTGCTGCATAAATGTGAAGCAGTGTTGTTCTTATAGTTCCCACACTTCACAATTGATCTTTATTCGCCTACCATAACATTCAGCACACAACACTCCCACAATATAAATTGATTGTTGTTCATTGCTTATAACAATTTGCTTTTATATCTTTTTGTATCGAAGTGTGGCAGTGATGTCTCTTAAACAGTAAAATCTTAGCCAACTATGCTTATAAGTAGACCTAGCATATTCTTTGACTCTATGCCCCTTTTTGTTGCTGTGGGTGATGCCTATGTTATAAATTTGACAACTATATCTTAAAGAGTTCGTAAATAACACCCAACTATACTTATAAGTACACGTAGGATATACTTGAACATGCGACCCATCTCATCGTCATAGGCGATGCCTTTGTTATGTATTTTATGACTATAACACAAATGGTTCTGTAATCATTGCTAACTATGTTTATAAGTAGTCATAGGGTATATTTGACCCTGTGACCCTTTTAGTCATTGTGGGTGATGCCTATGTTATGAATTTATCAACTATATCTTAAACGGTACAGAAATTACAGCCAACTATGCTTATAAGTAAGTAATATACGGGTGTATTGAGGACAATCCAATTTAGATGTCAAAATCAAGCATTTTTACCTTTGTGTTTTTTTCTTCAGAAATAGTTGCTCAGGGTGTTTCTCAAGGTATTTGCCCTCATATTTAAGCCAAATCAAGCAAATTTCTCGTTTTCAAGCTAACTTTTCACATTTTCTATAAATGTCGGGGTCACTTGAGGACAGCCCTAAAATTTTGCCTTTTTTTACCCCAAAATCCAGCAAATTACTCATTTTCAAATTACTTTTTCACATTTTCTAGAAACGCTAATTTTGCAAGCCCAGCAATCTAAAAATTAAGCAAATTTGAGCTAAATATGCAAGCTAAATCAAGCAGATTATGCTAAAAATCAAACAAAAATATTATGTTTTATTCATTACAGTTTATATTCTATGTTATACTAATTCTTTAAAAATTTCTTCCATCTTCTCAAAGTCGTCACCTATTTCATGAAGTACATATTTATCGTCAATGTTTTCTTAGAGTAATAATTGTAAGGTTTTTAGGTTTTGATGAAATTTGAAAACTAGTTCTTCAACATCTTCAGATGCATTTTCTAATTTATAGGAATGTGTATTTGAAACAACACCATCTTAAAAATATCTAGTCATACTGCATGGTAACACAGGCATTTTCATTTTTATTTATAAATAAAAATTTATTAAAAGAAAGAAAAAGCTCATTTAGATTTAAGAAAAATTTTTTTATTCGATCAAACAACTTAACAATACATTTAGAAACTTGTATTAAACTATCGAGACATTTTGATGTATCTTCCATTTAATAATATTGCAATTTTATACACCTTCAGTAATTCTTTCTTTCCAATAATCGTAAGTTAGATTTCTTTTACTAATTAAAATAACATTACACATTGTTTTTGTTTCAAAAGTTTTATTACAAACAACAAGAATTTTTATGTTTGTTTTTTCTTTAACTACATTTGTTTTTCTATATAAACAATCAATAACATATAAAGTTATTAGACCCCAATACTAATAATAATGACACAGCCATAAAAGTCTAGTTTTGTTTGTGAGTTTCTAAAATCATTATAAGCAAGAAACCTTTTATCACAAAGACTGTTTTCCATATCTAGATTCCAATTTTCTTCCATTCTTAACGTAAATATTCCTTACATTGCAGTGATTAAAAATAGTTGCGTGTACATACTGTTAATAATTATTTTTTTCTATTATTTTGAAAACCTACAATTTCAAAATCGGGCATATCAAATTTTAAATTATTAAGCTGATATTTTATATCAAAGTTAAAAATAGTTGAACCAGCAGAAACTTCTTTTTATAAAAATTGCCAATAATCAAAACTAATTAGAAGTCAAGGGTTTTTGTATACATTTTTTTTTTAAATTGCAAGGGCTGTGTTAGATCCGTATTCAACAATAGGCCACATAATTTCTCATTTTTGAATAACAATTCTACCGAGGTCAGCATAATCACCAAGCGAACCATCCACTTTCTTAGGTTGATAAACAAATAAACAACTGGCATAAGTTGTATTACAAATAAAAGCAATTTTATAACCACCTTTCCAGTAAATTTAATTGTTGTCTCTAATAAAACTAAACAGATATCTCAAGGGATAGATTATTTCATTTGTTTTATTACTATAAACAGATTTTTCCCATAATTTATTATCAACACCAGTAACTTCTAAATTATTTTGTTCAATGGGTGATCTTAACAAAATACTCATTATTGTTGATGTTATTCCAGGATTATCAACAGCTTCAATAATACAACCATGTTTCGAGATTCCTACTATAGAAAACTGAAAAAGAAAAAATTTGAACAAACATCAATAGTACCTGATTCACCATATTTTGCCTCATTTCCATATTTAATTCTTTTTTAAGTATTATATGTTGTTAAAAAACACAAGTGTCATTTGAAAAAGAAAATCAATCACCTATAGAAATATCAAATTCTATTCTATTATTGTAAACATTAAAATTCCCTATAGTTTGATCAGTTGGGGGAAAAGTTAGTCTCTCAAATTTCTCAATACATTTATAACTCATTTATAAGAAAAAAATTACTATACATGGAAAAAATATATATATTACGGAATCAAAGGGAGTTTCTCGAGTTAAATCACTCATCGAAAGACTTAAAAAATATAAAAAGGACTATAAAAAATATGAAAAAATATAAAAAGACATGCCTTAAATTGACGAATTACATAATATTGAAAAAAAAAAAAAAAAAAATAGATAAGTAAGCGCAGAAAAGAAACATTTAATAACAGCTCTAGTTCCTGTTGCAGCAAAACAATTAGATTATCCACCTACACCAGAAGAAACATAATCTGAAAGAAAATTATTCTCAAAATCTCCTAATTTGGAAGAGCAAATGGGAATCGCGCCACTGAAAAATTTGATGCAGCATGTGTCTGGTTCAACACGTACAGCATATGATTCTACTATAAATCTCGGAACAGAAATTACTAAAAGAATTTATGTTATTGATGAAAAATTCTGTTTGCGTGTAGTTGGGCAAGAATTTTACATTGGTGATACACAAGTAAATTGTTTAAATATATTAATTTGGCCATCTACGGACTGCAATGAACTCAAGACTTCTGGTTCATCTTCCTTTTTCTTAAATAATGATACACTATTTTTTTTAAGGATGAAGAATATAGATTAACAGGACTTCGTAATTTGGTAACAGAAAATTCACCAGAAGCTCTTGAGGATAAATTTTA